TGTACATAGAGAATGAATAGAATATGTGTCTCAACCTCAATTTAGATTCAAAAAATTTTTGTTAACGATTATTCTCATGAAGACGTCCATACCTATGAATCTTTGAATATTCGATTTTGAGTCATAGACAATATAGATTTGATTATATATTTGTAATTGATTTTAGATTGATCCTATGTAATAAGGGTTAGCAACTGTACTGTATTAAAACAGATATATTAATTTAAATAGTTTTCAGCTGACTTAATTGTTTGTTTGTTTTTGTTTTTGTGTTGTTCATGATTTTGAAATGGAAGTAAAAACTATGTAACATAATGTTAGTTTCATTTTATATTTAAAACTGTTCAATGGCGACGAGGATGAGGAGGAGGAAGGGTGAGAGACACCAGGAGCTAGTAGAAGAAGGTATATTAACACCCAGTCAACCTATTTTCTATTCTAATTTTGATAAATTTGATGAAGACAATGAGACATGGAGTTCATACATGGTAAGGCTAGACAACTTTTTTGACCTAAACGGAATCACGTCAGAATTAAAGAAAAAGCAATATTTGATCAATTTATTGACACCTAAAGTATTTCACGACCTGAGAATTAATCTAAGCCCATGTGACATTGAGGATAAAAGTTATGACGAAATATGTGAAGCTTTACAATTATTACTGGAACCTAAGGGAAGTATTATTGCAGAACAACATAAGTTCACTAAACGAATCCAGAATTCGAGTGAATCTGTAGGCAGCTTCGCCAAAGATCTGAAAACCTTAGCCAGTAAACGTGATTTTAAATGTCCAAAATGTAATGCATCAACATCTGACGTTCATCTGCGGCAACAGTTTATTTCGGGCATTCATGATGGAAAATTGCTGTCTAGATTAATTGAAATTCACGAAGATAAAACGTTTAACCAATGTCTTGAAATAGCAAATAACTTTGAGCAAATCAAAAGTGAAACAATGAAAATCCAAGAATCAAATTTGCAAGTTGGAGAACAATTTCAGATTCGAGGGAAGAAAAGCGCTGGATATCTGCAAGGAAAGGGTAGTAAAATATCATGTTTCAGATGTGGGGGACACCATCACATAAGTGCGTGCGAAATTCCAGCAGACATTAAATGTTGGAATTGTGAGAGGAAAGGACATCTCAGCAAAGTTTGTCGGAGAAAGAAACAAAACATGCGACAAGCTGATGACGCTTCGACAGGAAATGAGTATGAAGAAGAAGGTGAGAGTCAAAATCCACCTTTTATGTCAATGTTATCCATTGTGGATAGAAAGAAGAAATGTACTAAATTGTCTAAGCTCTCGGATGATGCATATCAACCCGAAATGGTAAACAGGCCGGGAAAGATTATGTTAGACTGCACCATTGACGATAAGCGTAACTCTTTTGAGTTAGATACTGGTGCTGCGGTCAGTACTATACCGCTGCATCTGTTTAAGAAATTATTTCCAGGTAAGATTCTAAATAGAACAAGAATGCCGTTAAGAACCTATACAGGAGAAATAATTCGCCCGGTAGGGTTTGCGACTGTCGAAATCTGCTATGAAAATCAAATATCTGTGGGCAACTTGTATGTTATTCGGGGGAACGTAGACAGTATTTTTCGAAGGGAGTGGTTAAAGTTGTTCAAAATTGAGCTTCCTTCATTAAACCAGCTATCAGAAGATCAAACAGATCATAAAAAAGACCAGTTTATAGAGAATCTTAAGAGCGAATTTCCTAATGTTTTCTTACCAGGAGTGGGTAAAGTACCGAACTATGAAGCTCATTTGAGTTTGAAACCAAACTCTAAGCCGGTTTACCTGCCACCCCGCCCTGTTCCTTTTGCTTTAAGGGATAAAGTCAATGATGAAATTGACAGGTTAGAAAAGGAGGGAATTCTCTCAAAGTTGACCTACAGTCAATGGGGTACACCTATAGTACCGATAGTTAAACCAAACGGGGATATTCGGCTTTGTGCTGATTACAAAGTATCAGTTAATAAGACCTTGGAACCTGATCATTATCCAATTCCAACATTGGATGACATATTTGCGAGCATGAGTGGCTGTAAGTATTTTTCGACTATTGATATTTCTCAAGCGTATTTAAACATTCCCATGGACAACGAGAGTGCCAGAGTACAGGCCATTAGCACATATAAGGGTGTATATGCTGTCAATAGACTCATGTTCGGAATCAAAAATGCTCCAGCTGAGTGGCAAAGATTCATATCTCAAGCTCTAGACAACATTCCAGGTGTTACGGTGTTTTACGATGACATTAGAGTAGTGAGTAAAACGTTAGAGGAGCACAAAGATCGGCTAAAAGAAGTTTTCAGAAGGTTATCCAATAATAACTTGCGAGTCAATAGTAAGAAATGTAATTTATTTAACGCTAAGATTGTGTATTTAGGACATGAAATATCAGAAAAGGGTATTCACAAATGTAAAGACAAAGTGGAGGCGGTAGTAAATGCTCCCCGACCGACCAATAAAGATGAGCTTAAAAGCTGGTTGGGTCTCATTAACTATTATGGAAGGTTTGTCAATCATCTCTCAAGCTTGTTACACCCTTTGTATGAACTGACCAGAGGTGGTAGAAAGTTTACCTGGACCTCAGAATGTGAGAAATCTTGGCTTCAAACAAAAAAGGAAATTGCTTCAGATAGAGTTTTAGTTCCATATGACCCTAAATTACCAATTATTCTGTCAGTTGATGCCAGTCCAGTAGGGCTTGGAGCTACTCTTTCACACGCTCTCCCGGATGGATCGGAAAGACCAATATGTTTCGCTTCTCGCACTCTTACGCTCACGGAACGGTCGTATTCTCAAATCGATAAAGAAGCTACAGCAATCTTTTGGGGTGTAAATAAGTTTTTTCAATATGTGTTTTCCAAAAGGTTTATTTTAAGAACAGATAATAAACCACTTGTTTCTATCTTCAACCCCGCAAAGGAATTACCACGAATGACTGCGCAAAGACTTCTAAGGTATGCCATATTCCTGCAAGGTTTTGACTACGAGGTTCAACATATAACTTCTGAGGAGAATGTCTCGTCTGATGCCCTTTCGAGAGCACCGATAATAGGAAAAGGGGATGAAAATTTCATAGATGACATAAACAGAGCGTGTTTATACCAAATTAGGCAATTCAATGATGTATTGCCTGTGAAGCTGGACGAAATTCAAGAGGAAACTCAGAAGGAAATTGTAATGAAAGATATTTAAGATTGCTTACTAAGAGGTAAACCATTGGGTCATAAGGAGTATAAAAAACACTTGGATGAATTGAGTATAGTGGACGGTTGTATAATGAGAGGCGATCGAGTTATTATACCACGCACTGTGAGAAAACGTGTTTTGAATGATCTACATTCGTCTCATACAGGAATTGTTAGGATGAAGGCCCTTGCAAGAAGTTATGTCTGGTGGCCAGACATGGATCTCGATATAGAACAATTTGTGAAACAGTGTACACCCTGCCAAAGAAATCAGAAGAATCCTGCTAAAGCGTGGCATCCATGGGAACCAGAAAATGCACCGTGGAAAAGAATACATGTTGATTTCTTAGGACCTGTATCAAATCAATACGTTTTACTGGTTGTAGATTCATTCTCTAAATGGTTAGAAGCCTGTCCCATGACACAAGCAACATCAAAGAAAACCATAGAGTTTTTGGAAGATATTTTTGCAAGATTCGGCCTACCTTATACATTGGTGAGTGACAATGCTTCGATATTTAAATCAGAAGAGTTTAGAAATTACTTAAAACATAATGGTATTATTCACAGAACCATTGCACCATATAATCCGCAGAGCAATGGTCAAGCAGAACGCTATGTTCAAGAAGTGAAAAGGTACTTAAGAAAAGAAGTGGACACAAATGGAAACCTAAAAGAAAAACTTCTTAAAGTTCTTTCATCTCACAGACGAACACCGACATCAACAACAACAAAAAGTCCGGCAGAGTTGATGTTTGGAAGAAAACTGCGGAATTCGTTAGATGTGTTGAGACCTTCATTAGAGTCAACGTTGAAACCTACCTTTCGCACAGCCCAACAAGGATGTACATCTTTCAAAGGAACCATAAGAGAATTCAAAGAGGGCGAACATGTTTTGGTAAGAGAAATGGTGAAAAATGGCAAAATTGTTTGGAGAAAAGGCGAAATAAAGAAAATAATTGGAAGAGTCATGTACTCCGTTGCTGTTGATGACATGCTATGGAGACGGCACATAAATCAACTTCGGAAGATATAGAATCTACAGTATCCTTTGAATTATTTCATGGGGGAAGAGTTTGTACTGTATTAAAACAGATATATTAATTTAAATAGTTTTCAGCTGACTTAATTGTTTGTTTGTTTTTGTTTTTGTGTTGTTCATGATTTTGAAATGGAAGTAAAAACTATGTAACATAATGTTAGTTTCATTTTATATTTAAAACTGTTCAGCAACGGAATTACACTCATGTAAAGTCGATTCATCAACCTGGCCAGCAACACAAAATCTAAATATATAAAAGGCAAAGCCCTCACTGACTCACTCACTCACTCACTCATCACTAATTCTCCCACTTCCCATTTACCTAGGAGGCTGAAATTCGGTACACCGATTCTTTGGGCATTAAATAGGAAAACTAAGTAGTTTTTATTCTGATCGGGCTTTCGGGCTCCACCCCAGTGGCTCTGGAGTTTCCCATGTTAACCTTATGAGTACTCATATTTAAATGGAATTAATGAATCTTATCAGCTGTTTCAATTAAACAAGTTGGTTCTGTTCTATGATGTTCAATAGCATTAAAGTTACAAGGATTACCAACAGGGT